TACTTAGGGGTCCATGCGTATAACTAGCATACTGGAAATGAACCTGCCCTTCAGCTGGGAACCAAGGCTATGTCTGTTTCTCAAAGTTTCATTTCAGATGCATTCCCTTGCTGGTCCTCCACAATGCCCTGCCTTTACCATTTCTGAGGATGTAGTGCTGGAATGGGAGGCCTGTTCTTCCCCTAGGACCTCACTGTCCCCTGGCTCAACTTAGACTCCTTCCTTTAGATACACACACACACATGCACACACACACCCCGTATCCTCCAAAAGTGTATGATTCTCTGTAAATTGCAGTTTATGTGGAACCCAGAGAAGTCGGCAGTTTGAATCCACCAGCTTCTCCTTGGAAACTGTATGGGGTAGTTCTACTTTGTCCTATAGGGTCGCTATGAGTTGGAACACACTCAACGGCAATGGGTTTAGAGATCATTTCATGCATCCTGTCCAGTATCAAGATGAATCAATAATAATACTCACATTTTTTGAGCATTTTCTATGCATTTGGGACTTTGCTATGTGCTTTGCACACATTATCTTCTTTAATTTCCATGCAAATGCACGAGGTCACTTTTTACAGATGAGGTAAAATAACTCGCCCAAGGTCATACAGCTATCATGATGTTATTAAGGCATTTCAAATTTTTGTTTTTTTCTAATTGGGTTTCTGGGGGAATTAGTATCAGTGCTAGCTCAGATGGTGGGCATGTGTTTTGGGAGGAATTGCTCTGTGCTTGCCCCTTCCTCCACATTAGGCCCCACACTCATTGCTCTGTTGGTTTTAGAGGCTAAATGAAGCATGAGATCAGTCACCAGCCAGAATTGGCTTCATATCCCAATCTTAACCCTCTTTAGGTGTGTGGTCTTGGAAATGTTACTTAAATTAACAGCCTCGTTTTCTCATCTCTCAGCTGAGGATAATAATATTTTATCCCACAGAGCTATTTTGAGGATTGAATAAAGCAATGAAGATAAATCAGTTAGTACAGTGCTCAAATGTAGTGGGTGGTCAATCAATGATCGTTACGATTGCTGTTGATATTATTCCACCAACGTTCTTTAAACATTTTTCAGAATGCTAACCATTTATCATTCCTCCCTTCACCTTGTGGTCACATTTCTGCCCCTTGCTCTCAGGCCCCTTCCTCTCCTCACCCATCTCTCACGTCGCCTGTTTGCATACTGGGGAAGCAGCCACACGGGCTATGACCTGCCCTCTACCACCCAGAAGGTGAGCACGTCTGTCCTCCTCCACCCTTGTTAAGGCAGTTTGGTCCAGAGGCAGCGCCATGCTCGGCCGCTT